CAGAAATAGGGTAGCCCGTCCGGATGTCATTGAAAATGTGGGAAACAAGCCTGAAAGTTTCAATGCAGAGAGCTTGGTCTGGGCACTCAAGGGTAGCATCTTTAATGCTCTAAGTGCTCTGCAAATGAGTGAGGATGGGAGTGAGAAAGGGCAAAAATGTTCCTTAAAACAGGGGACTCCGAGCCTGTCAGACCAGGAGAGCTTCGACTGAGGGCTCAGAGAGCAAGTTCAGTCTTTCCCATTTCCTTTGTTCTGAGCTCACGGGTTTGTAACTGCTCGTGAAGGGTGCTGTGTAGTATAAACTTTGTGTTTTCACAGAGGAGAAAAAGCACCTTATGCATTCTGGCTGAACCGAGATGCCTCAAGCAACCAGCCAGCCAGGATCTACCAACAGCAATTTATCTACCTCTAATAGAAATACACTTGCTACTTCGTAGAAAAACATACATCGGAGTTGCTGCAATGTGAATGAAAACAAACGGAGAGTTATTTTTCTGTCAGTAGCAAGCTTGGGAGGGGAATTAAAATAAATCTCTAATACTGCACTTTCCACCTGCCCCGGAGAATGGATAAGCGGGAGCGAGGTTTCGGATCAGTGCCGCGGGTGACGGTAACTTCAGCCACAGCAGAAGTGGTGCCCTGCACATCAGCTGTGTGTGCCAGGCGAGTTGGTGCAAGGGCTCGCTCCTCTTCTTGAGTCCTGGAGCCCCTTTAGATAAAGACGTCCTGGCTCGAGTCGCTTTCAAGGATATTTGCGTAACACAAATATTCAAATAATCCTTCTCTTCTGTTGTGGGCATGTTTAAGAACTAATCCAGAATATTTTTTAAAAACCACCATTCAGAATGTGCTTTAAGGAGGAGTTTTCACTGACACCGCTTCCAAGTTTCCCGAGTGTGAGGGTCGTTTTAGTTTATTTCAATTTGTTTCTTTAAGCAGGTGACTGTCAATGCAGATGCACTTTGGGAGAGGTAGGGAAATGGAGCCAGGGAATGTTTCAGATTGAATTCACTTCTCCTCCCCCTCGTGGTCACTTTCCCGCTCTTGCCAGACTCTCAGTTGGTCCCACAGAGGAGTGGTTAATTCTGCCACTGAATCTCCGTACCCGTCCTGCCCTGGTCGTGGTCCAAGAGCAGAGCAGGGTGCCTTTCCTATCGCACTGCAGCCTTGACAGAACCCTCCAGGCTCCCATTTGTCACTATTCACCCAGTTGCCCCAGATTATTTGGACTCGCTTGGCTGAGCTGCTCTCCGATGCTTCAGGCATTCCCGGCGCAGCGGCAGCCCGTGCAGGTGACTCGGGGAAGCCCGTGGCGCTCGCCGCCGGCTCACCCCTCTCCCGCCCCACCGAGGCTCCTGGATCTGCCCGGGAGAGTCTGGGTTTGGGGCGGGCGGGCAGAGGCCAGCGAGGGGCTCCCTGTGTCCCGAGGCACGGGAAGGGGGCAGCAGGGCAGGAAAGGGGCACGCGGGCACAGGCAGGGCAGCGTTTTATGTGGAGGTGAACCAGAGAAGGGGGGCTCGCTTCCTTTGCTCTTTGTTGTTTCATCTTTATTAAAGGGAACTGCGTGAAACCAGGAGAAAGAGGCAAAGACACCAGTGCTCCCCGCAGCAGAATTGCCCCCGGGTGGGGACGGGCGAGGGTGTCCCCTTGCACCAGTGTTGGCACGCTCGGGCGTGGGTGAATGCCTCGTGTTTGCTGTGCTGTGCACAACCCAAAGGTGAGCGCTGGGTGACGTTACTGCCACTGAAGCTCGGCCTGTGTGCTGCCCCTGAGGCCACCAGCGTCCCAACGAGCTTGTTAGGAGCGCGGCGCCGCCCCTTCGGGCTCATCCCGATGCGGTGGTGAAAACTCCCGCAAGGATTGGGAGGCTCCGGAGCGCTCGCCTACGGCCTGCCTTGCACGGAGAGTCTGCAGCAGGGCTCTTTTCCGTTCATCTTTCAGATGAACTTGTGAATCAGCGAGCATTGTGGCCCGGGAGCGGTGTTGAATGTAGATAAGTGACGAGGAAGCCTGCCTTGCAATCGCTAGTGAGAAACTCGACACAAGAGGTGTGCTAAAAGATGAACGTCCATACAGTGCTCCAGTCCATTTATCACTCTGTGCCTGTGCAAGTGGAGTGTGGTTTTACGTTTTTGGTTTTCCCCTATTTTTTATATAAATATATAAGTTTCCAAATCTTACTGTTTACTTTTAATCTTCTAAGTCATTCTAACACAGGCCTAGCAATAAACAAAGCACAAGGGTAAGCCAGTCTTTTTTTGGTTGTTCACATAATAGATCATTTTTCCAGCTTAGCTCTTTGACAGCAAGAAGAGTAATCTTAAAATAGTGATATAGTCTCTGTTTAAAGTATATTTGTTTCTGCCTGAAAAGAGAATATTTACAGAACTCCTTATTCTTGCTGTTCAAGTCAGCTTAGTGTAGAGCATGATAATAAAGCTACAGATGTTTTCGCAGTGTTAGCAGATGGAGACTGCCTGGAAAAACCCTCGTGTCCTTTCCCAGTGAGAGGAAGGAAGCTCAGTTCCTTCCATCCTTAGCTGCTGGACATGCAAAATTTTAAAGAGTGAAATTATGAGTGACCTGTATACACGTATTTTGACTTTTCCGAGAGGCAGGGAGAAAAAGGTATAATCTCTTCAGATACTGTTTAGGGGAGTCGTCTTCATGCAGTGATCATGATTTCCACTTACGTAGTCGTCAGCAACATCCTTGAGAGTTGCTTTTCAAGGTAGGAAGCTGCCGTGGCTGCTATCAGCAAGACCTCTCGGGGAGCTGCACTTTCATTGCTCGTTCTGAAGGCCAGCTGAACATTTTTGAAAGCAGCTTTAGCATGTGGTGTTAAATATGGTTGCAGACTACGATGGTTTTCTTTTGCTGCTTCTCCTGTGGTCTCAGCTGTGCTGTGCAGGTCGCTGCCTTCGGTTTCGTCTCTCAAAACTGCCTCTCTAGTTTAACTTCTCGCCTTCGGTCTAGAGAAAGGTTCGTGACCACTGTGCCCTACAGTGTAAGAAGAAGAAAGGTTAAAAGGAAACACTGCTGCATAGGTATCAAATTTTTCTTTTCCACACTATCTTATTTGATCACCTCTCCTTAGTTATACAGGAGAAGTTGGCAGCTGCTGCCGCAGGGTGTGGGGAGGGACGGGAACCCTTTCCCTGCCGTTCTGCTCGCAGGGGCCGGCCCTGCATGCGGGCAGCTGATGGGCCTTGGTGCTGCTGGGGCACCAGGAGCATCCTGTGCAAGAGAGATTCGCGGGAGAGCGCGCGGCCCTCCGGGACTCGCGGGAAAGCGCCTGGCCCTCCAAGACTCGCCTCATCAGCACGTGCGGCTTATCAGCACTGGGATACGAGAGTGGAGCAATGCCCGTTTCAGACATCTTAATTCCTGTTCTCACTGTGTGCTGTTCTCACTGGTGGCCAGCGATAGGACGAGGGGTAATGGCCACAAGCTGAAGCATAAGAAGTTCCGTCTCCAGGTGAGGAGCAACTTCTTTCCTGTGAGGGTGACAGAGCAGTGGAACAGGCTGCCCAGGGAGGCTGTGGAGTCTCCKWCTCTGGAGGYCTTCAAAACCCGCCTGGATGCCGCCCTGTGCCACATGCTGTAGGTGTGCCTGCTTGAGCAGGAAGGTTGGACTAGATGATCTGTAGAGGTCCCTTCCAACCTTAAATATTCTGAAATATTCTGAAATATTCTGAAATATTCTGTTAAATGTGCTTTATGCTTTAGAGTTGCCCTCTTAAAAAAAAAAAGTTACAAAGGGTGTTTGTTACAATCTTTGATACACAAAAAGGTTGGCCTTCACCTGTGTTTGAAAGAAGGAAAAACCCAACTGAAATTCATTATACTATTTGCTTTTGAAGCAGCTGAAAGGTCAGTGCAAGTTTGGCAGGTAAAACAGAGCCACCCAACCTGGAATCTATCCCGGTGACCGCGGCGCATCCGCTCGCTGCTGCTGCTGCTGTAGTACAAGACATGTGAAGTCCTAAGTGACATTAGACACATTGCAAACCAAGAAAAAGAAGAAAGGAGGTGATGAAAGCTGCCCAAATTCACACCTACCAATTCAAGAAAATGTACCAGTCTTCAAAAAAAAAAAAAAAATATATATATATATATATATAAAATATATGTGGAATCTCCTTAATGGTGCTGCTCAGTTGTGCCTGTCAGAGCGCTGGGCACTCGGCGTGATGGAATGAGTGTCCAGCAGCGTCTCCTGGGACAAGCGCCGTGATTAACTGAAGTGCTCCAGCAGTCCCGCGGGCTTGCTGATGTGTGAGGAAAAGGAATCAAACAGGAAAGGACACAGTTTGGAATTTATCTTCTGGAGTTCATTGAGATTAAAGGGGGAGGAAACAGTTGCTTTAATATTTAAGGGTTATTTTGCCTTTCTTTTTCCAGTCATAAGCAAATTCTAAGTTACAAGCTTTTGCTTTTAAACATCTATACTGTGAATGATACATAGCAGCCAAACAAAGCTACACTTGTTTGATTTGCAGAATCAGTCGGGTTAAATTTCCTGCCAAGAAATTGTTTTACTAAAACCACAGTTGTATATACCAGAAAGCAGGAGAAGGAGGAACAAGGAAGATTTAAAAATAAAATAAATTTTAATTAGGAATTGCCATTTCAGCCATATACAGGCTAGACTAATCATAGACTTAGAAATTATACTCTGGACATACCTTAGAAGAATTTACACTCACTAGTTTTCTTCTTCAAAAACATATATTTGCTCTGTATTATAACTACGTATCTTAAAGGATAAATCATCATTCTAGATCTTTTCAAAATCAATTAGAAGTAGCATTTGTTTGAGAAGTATCACCCACAAATCTCTATTTTCTCACATGCACCTCGTATTTTTCTCTGTTGCGTTTATGAAGAGCACTGCTCATGCATCCTGACACACACGGACACCACACGTTGCTGGACTGTTATATCCTGACTCAAACCTGAACACCAGGAGCAGCGTAGCCTCTTTAGTGTGTGGTGGCTTAGGAGACAGAGCGCGAATTCACCCGTGGCTCTGGACTTGGACACGTTTGTGGTGCTGCTCATGGGTGCAGGTAGGGCCTCCTTTCCTGTCAGAGCTGCTTACGTGACGTGCAAGTCGTTTGGCTCTTCTCTTAGCTGATTTTTAGCCGACCTGATGATGTTTTGATAAACTGCAAGCACTAACATTTCCCCTTCTGCCCTTTATAAGTAGCAAAAGAGAAATCGCCACTGGAAATGACCCTTTCGTTATTGTTGGCTGGTTTATCTCAGCAGTTAAATGTTGTGGCACTGGGTTAAACTTCTAAAGTGCTGGGTTTGTCTGTTGTCCCTGTCTGCCTTAAAGCCTGTCAGTTCAAATGTGTCAGGCAGCTAATTAGATGCTGTGAAAATCAGTATAAAGTAATCTCAAATGGCTGGATTTCCTGCAACATTCAAACTCCACGTTTAACTCCTCTTGGCTCCTCTCCCACGTTTTTGTTGTCTGATTCTACGCGAGTCACTCCGAAGTCCCTTGTGCGCATTATTTTCTGTTTTCTCTGAAATGTTATGTTATAAATATGAGCAGACATATTTCTGAATCTGTTGTTTTTTTCTCAGCAACTTCCATAATTTTCCATAGATTTTTCTGAAGTTATCACCATTTTCTTTTTTTGCAAGGCCATTCTGTTGTGACTAACAGTGTCTGTGAGACAGAAGATCCTTGATGATGATGATGCATCCCCTTTCACTGAAAATACTTTATTGCTCAGGGCTTTGTTATGATTTTAAGACTTGCCTGTCTGCAAGTTCTTGGATCCTGTATTAGGTTCGACAGGAGATGAGGCGCGGAGAGGACTGTGCTTAACCTGCCTGCCTGTCCTGCTTTCCTCCCCTCGGTAATTCTTGCAACAGGATCTACAGGGAGCTGTGTTCCTGCAAAGAGGCTAAAAGCAGGAGATGCCACAGAATGCAGGAGGTGCTCAGCCCATATTAAATGCTTTAAATCCATTGCTAGTAGGAGGAAGGTGGTTGCAAATGTCCCAGCTGCCAAGAAAACTGCAATAGAAACTTCTATCGTAGTAGACATCAGAGAATCTAGTGTATAGGCACAGCTCCATAGGATGGCAGGCTTTTTAGTGCCTCTAGAAGTTTTTCCAGATCATGCATTTGAAGAATTTTGAGTTACCAAAGAAGTATGTTTTGGCTAGATTTCTACATCTGTATTTAATATGGATATACTTGGTACTTTAATAGGGATGAGGATGGAAAGTAGTCGCTCAGAAAGTGCTACAAGATCAGAGAGGAGAGCTGGCCCAGTGTTCAGCTTGGGTTCCTAGAGCTGTATGCGGAGGCGTCAGGACTAACGTGACTCATGTATTTTGCCTAGGTACAAAACGGATTCTCTTATACTGTGATGGTTGAACCATACAAGTGTTCTAATAAAGATAGCTGTAATTCTGAACGAATTAAATCATATATATATACATATATATATATATATATGTAGGTGAGGAAGGGTGAGGAGGAACTTCTTTCCTGTGAGGGTGCCGGAGCCCTGGCACAGGCTGCCCAGGGAGGCTGTGGAGTCTCCTTCTCTGGAGCTCTTCCAAACCCACCTGGATGCCGCCCTGTGACACATGTTTTGGGTATCCCTGCTGGAGCAGGGGGGTTGGACTGGATGGTCTCTCGAGGTCCCTTCAACCTCAACCATTCTGTGATTCTGTGATTCTAAGCTGAGTGACCCACTAGGCTTTGATTGTCTTTTTTTTTTTTCTGAAACTGAATCCTGAATGAAGTGTGTGTATTCATCTTTGTATGTAGTCTAAGTCATTAGACTTAAATCTTGTTTTCATTTATGCTTTGTCCTCTGGTCTTAGCAATTTCTTTAAATATTTGTAATTATTCCAAATCCTTGCCCTGCAATAAAACTTCCACTTTTTAATACTTGAGAAAAATCATTGGAGCACAATCCACTCCCATCTCATGTGCAGAAATGTTTTATTTTGATAAATCAGCTTTTATTGGGCAGGTTAGGTAGCTATATGTATGTAATATGTTTAGTGTCCTTATTTATGTAAATGAGTAGGTTTTCACCAGGAAAATTGAGTGAATAATCCTGTGATGAACACAGATTATTTTGCAGTGGCAAAGACGCAGATGCTTGAAGTGCGGAGAAGTGAAGTGCTGTTTAAGGGCATAACCTTTGCAAGGGATGCACCAGGGATGGGCCTTGTTGGTGCTAATGTGTGAGCTTAGCTGGATGATATCCCTCATCCTTTTAAAACAGTCTCTTCCAGGTACTGACCTCATAGACCTGATTCCCTCTGGCCGTTTCTCCAGAGGACAGACGCTGTCTTTGCATGAGAACGGAGCAGGATTCGGGCAGGGGGTGTGAGGCTGAGCGTCCCCCGGTGTCGCAGCTGTGACTGTCCTTGGGCCCCTCACGCTCCCGGCCTCCCTGACAGCTGCTGCAGCTCCGTGTGTTAGTTGGGTGGCCTGTGTCAGCGATAAGGCAGTCTCTGCTTTGGGGTTCATTTCCTAGGCATCTAGACGGCCTCAGTAGTTCTGACCCTCTAATCTAGTTGAAGGGCCAGAGTCGAATGAGTCTCTTACTTTTGGAGGGCTTCTGAAAATTGTTATTCTACAAAGACATAGCTGCATTTTTTCCATGCGGAGTGGCGGATATTAATTGGATCCAGAAAAGCAGTGACAGGTACTAAGATGCAGTCAGTGGGTGCAGGGGGAGGGCTGTGAATATAAAGCTTGCTCCCCGCGCCCGTGGAGGCGGCTTGTGTGGCCAGCGCTGGGTCAAGTCTCAGCACTTTCATGGGGCCACTGCAGTGAAGCTCAGTTTCCGGAGATCCATGGCCTGCATAAGGCATTAAAGGAAAAAGTGATTTTTTTTCTGTATTTAAATGGGTAAATATTCATAGACTAACAGTAATTATATGTTAGTCCGAATTATAGGAAGACACCAAGACTTAGGCACCTGAAAACAGGAGCTGGATGGAAGGCACTCTGATCAACTGGCCAGAAACATAAAACTGTCCAGTTACTAATGCGAGGAATGTACATTGAAATGCAGCACAAAAAAAGAGTAAAGATATTTAATTGAAAAAAGTATTTCTTCTTTATGAGAATTTGCTGTGTGTATTTCAAGAATAGATCCCTTTGGTTTTGATACATCAATGGATGTTCTTGCTTTCCCTTACATAAGTCGGTGGGAAATGTTAAGGTAAAGCACATTAAGTCCAGCGTTTCAACTCTTGCTCCTAATCACAAGTCCACAGGGGATAAAGTTCACTTGATAATATCCACTGCGGATTAATCAGCTTTACTTCTCCCTTGAAGCTTTTGCCAAATCACAGGGAAAAAAAAAACATACTTTTTGTATCTGGAATTCAGCCAGCTTCTTTTGGCATGACACGTTATTTCAGCTAGGGACAGAGCAAACTGGAAGTCACAGAGCTTTGTCATTGATGGATGTTTTATTAAGAATAATATTATTTGCATGAAAAAACATAGATGGATTCTTATTCTGTGAAATGTGCTATACGCACTTTGCTCACCATAAGAACAGGGGGAAAAACCCTTCTAAAGCATTCTCCAACATTTCAGTCATCACTGACTTAATGGCAGAGGAGGAAGTGTTCTGAAAAATGAAGGTAACAGGAAACTTTATTTTCTAGGAAAAGAATATATAGGCATATTTAGGGGGGGAAGGTAGAAACAGCTTGCATTTTGTAAACATTATTCCAACTCAGATAGAGTTTCTTCCCCAAATATCATTTCTATGCAATTTAGGGCAAATCCCAAAGCACAGAGAGATATCTCTGTTGTAGTTTCTATTAAATTAGACTCCAAAAAAAAAAAAGTATTAGGTTTTACAAAGCTTTCCCTATGTGTATGTGTGTATATATATATATATGTATGTATGTATATATGCATGTGCAGCAGAGTATTCGCTGTCAGCGTTAGGCTGTGCGAATTGCTGCCTCGGCCGCGCTCATTCATCACGGCCCTGACTTCCCAGGGGGATTCCTTACCCCGAGATGGAAACTTTATCTCATCCTCCTTTCCCGTGGCTGTCCTTGCATATTTTTCCGCCTCGCCCTTTTCCAGTGACAGCGACTTTCTCGCGCTGAGGAAGCGCTGGCGAGTGCACGGCGCGGGTTCTACCCGGGGCTGCCGCAGAGAGCGCTCTGCCTGAGCTGGCCTAGAAGCAGGTCGGGTTTTGCTCTGCTGTGCTTTTTTGGACAGGGACCTTCACATAGAGGGAAATTACCAAGTTCTGCTGTAATCGAGCTCCTCGCAGTGGCCCCTGTGCTGACAGTTCCTTCCTGCAGGGACCCAAGATGGACCGTTTTGTCCACCAGCCCTGCAGGCAGAGACCACCCGGGAGCGCAGGGATTGGGGATTCCTCGGCTTCTTGGGGATTCCCTATAAAGGGGGTCCTTTGACCTCCAAGTTACCTGAGATTGGAGGTTTGCAGCTGCTCCATTCCCATCCTGTGACGTTTCTTTTCAGATACAAGAACCTCTAGCAGCAACGTCGTGGACTAAAGCCGCGCTCTGCGGGACCTTGAGCTGGGCAGCTTGATCCGTGCCAGGCTCCTGCGGCTATGGGAAATTCCCCCAGCGTCTGTGGGGCAGAGTCTGTAGCGAGGCATCCACCTGCGGAGCTGTGGGGCTGCGCGGAGGTTCGACCTGCTGGAGGTGCCACCCCAGGGGCAGCTGGGCAGCGGGGCAGAGTCAGATGGGGCACAGGGCTGGCGGTGTCAGTATCCACACGCTGGGACACCCGTTCTGCCCCGCAGACTTGTCCAGGCGCTTGCCGGGGGGAAAGCCGCCCATCCTCTCCACATCACCCTCTTGGTGAACATTGGCTCCTGCAGCCCCTGGTTTGAAATTACGGCATCAGAGGCAGCGGTGAGTGTTGGAGTTAAGTGTTATGACTGTCTGCAGAAGTGAAAGACAGTAAAAGTGACCGGCCTGGAGCACTTCTGGTTGCTGATCATCTCCTTGCCCACAGGAGGGCCGTGCAAGACCGTGCACCGGCTTTGCAGCCTCCCACTGAAAGCCCTGGGGTCTGG